CCTTTTTGCATTTTAAGATAATTACCCTCATTGTTTTGCTTTAGTAGATCAACCAATGCTGATTCAGCTTTTTAAAGCATGTTTTTGAAATTAACAACTTGGTTTTACTGGTCTCTCTAAAAAAAAAAATAATAAATCACTTTAATGGTTTCCCGTGATTTATTTTTTTATTTATTTTTCATTGAAACTACCTTGTCAGAATGAATCAGAGCTGTATGTATTGATTTCTGAACTATGCAAATAGAAGAGCAGTGAAAACACATGTGACTGAGCAGCTCAAATACAATTTTTGAAGCATGACCTTGCAGCGTTCATTCCTGGGAGTAAACCTAACTCTACCAGCTGCACTTGGCATTATTCTGGAATGACCAGAAACCAAATCTGGCCTATGACTTCAACAGGACAATTTACTCCTATAAAAAAATGTACAGATGAGTACAAGTCTGTGATACTGGATATGTCATTATTCTGTAAAAATAGCATGTATCCCTGGGGAAAACACCACCACCACCACCAAGAAAAAAACACTAGTTCCGTCCAAGAAAAAAGGACACTGTTGAAATAAGCAATTTCAGAAAGGAGGAAAATACTTGATCTAAGTTTTTAAAGCAGTAGGAGAGCTGTCAGATTCTGTTAGGATACCAGCATTGTTCCTTCCATCAGCCTTTACAAACTTAAGCTCTTGACACCTTGTAAAGCTTTCATATTCAAAAAGCACAAGACATCAATAAAATACTTATTGTCCTGTGTTCCAGGGCTACATGTTTAGCTTAGGGCGTTCTCTTACAGTATCACTGCTTAGGAGTACTTAAAGTCAATTACTCAAGATTTAGAAATAAAGGATTTGAAAAACATCAGTAAATTTTAACTTTGTTCCTGTCAGCTGCAGGAAATACTGAAATGAGAAAAATATTCAAGTCTAGGTAGCGTTTTAAGGAAACAATTTCTCTTTTAGCTGCTGTGGAACTGTTATTAAACTCTCCAGTTTACTACTTGGAAGATAAAAGCACAAAGGGGAACAGAAAATGATAGACGGATATAGAAAATGCAATTTCTTTCTAAGGCATTAGGTCTCATTTGCATCGTGGCTGCTAGAAAAACAAGGACTCAGCCACTGTAAACCCATCTTGTTCCAGCATTAGGCCCTTAGAGTGGCTTTTCCGATGTGGCAGAGCTGACGTGGGCACACGGCAGGCTTGGCCTGCTCAATTGCCCATCTCCAGCTGCGCTTCTCTACTGCTGGGCACGAGGCCTGTCGGGTTAGGGAGCCTGGTGGAGGCCAGCGAGGGCAGCAGATGCCAGGGCAGCGGGCGCGTTGCTGACGCACCCATTGCCCGGCTCTGGGTGGCAGCAGCACCTTCGGCCTTCTCGTGCAGGCAGACAGGGGGCCTCATTTTCCCCAGTTTATACATTTTGGTGATTTTGGGTGACTTCGGGCAGCTGCTGGATTAAGCACAGAGAGCTGAGTTCGGCCACTGCCGCAGTGGCGAGCAGAGCACCCAGGCCGTGCCGTGCAGCGCCCCTTCCCTCCCGGGCCGTGCAGCAGCAGCAGCACAGCAGCAGCGGGGCGGGGTCCCCGCCCCGGGTGGCGGCGCCTACAGCTCCCGGCACTCCCCGCTGCCGCCTGCCGGAGCCGTTCCGGGGCGCGGGCGCCGTCGCCGGGGCAGCGGCGATGGAGGCGGCGGTGGCGGAGGGGCAGTACACGGCGGCGGTGTACGGGCTGATCCGCGGCGGGCGCTGCGCCGAGGCGGCGGCGCTGCTGAGCCGCGAGCTGCAGAGGGGCGGCCGCTCGCGGGGCGGCCTCTCGCTGCTGGGCTACTGCCACTACCAGCTGCAGGACTTCGCGGCGGCGGCGGAGTGCTACGAGCAGCTCTCGGCGCTGCACCCCGAGCTCGACGCCTACCGCCTGTACCGGGCGCAGGCCCTGCACAAGGCCGGGCTGTACGGCGAGGCCCTGCGAGCCGCCGGGCCGCTGCTGGAGCATGCCGGCGTACCAGGGCCGCGTGCTGCGGCTGCAGGCTGCCGTCCGCTACGCGCAGGGCGACCTGGCCGCAGCCGAGAGCCTGGTGGAGGAGGCGCTGGCCTGCCGCCACCGAGGGCGGTGGTCCCGGGGCGGCCCAGGACCCCTCGGAGCGGGCTGATGCCGAGGTGAACCTGGGCTGCCTGCTGTACCGGCAGGGCCGGCACGAGGAGGCCGGCGTGAAGTTTGCCGGTGCCATGCAGGTGCTGGGCTGCTGCCCCGAGCTGTCCTACAACATGGCGCTGTGCTGCTACGCCGCCAAGCAGTACGCCCCCGCCCTCAAGCACATCTCCGACATAATAGAGCGCGGCATCCACCAGCACCCCGAGCTCAGCGTGGGCATGAGCACTGAGGGCATCGACGTCCGCAGCGTGGGCAACACACTGCTCCTGCACCGCACGGCCCTGGTGGAGGCCTTCAACCTGAAGGCTGCCATCGAGTACCAGCTGCACAACCTGAAGGCCGCCCAGGAGGCGCTCACCGACATGCCGCCCCGGGCGGAGGAGGAGCTGGACCCGGTCACGCTGCACAACCAAGCGCTGATGAACATGGACAGCCAGCCCACCGAAGGGTTTGAAAAACTGCAGTTTCTCCTGCTGCAGAACCCCTTTCCGCCAGAAACTTTCGGAAACTTGCTGCTCCTCTACTGCAAGCATCAGTACTATGACCTGGCGGCCGATGTGTTGGCAGAGAATGCCCATTTGACCTACAAACTGCTCACGCCTTATTTGTACAATTTCCTAGATGCCATTATTACTTGTCAGACCGCCCCCGAGGAGGCTTTCCACAAACTAGATGACTCGGCAGGGATGCTGACCGAGCAGCTGAGAAAACTCACGAAGCAGGTGCAGGAAGCTAGGCAAAACTGGGATGATGAAGCTGTAAAAAAGGCCGTTAATGAGTATGATGAGACTCTGGATAAATATATACCTGTCTTGATGGCCCAGGCAAAGATTTACTGGGACATGAAGAACTACACGATGGTAGAAAAGATATTCCGCAAATCAGTTGAATTCTGTAATGAATACGAGGTATGGAAGCTCAATGTGGCTCACGTGCTCTTCATGCAAGAAAACAAGTATAAAGAGGCTATTAGCTTCTACGAGCCGATAGTTAAAAAGCACTATGACAACATTCTCCACGTTAGTGCCATTGTGTTGGCAAATCTCTGTGTTTCCTACATCCTCACAAGTCAGAATGAAGATGCTGAGGAGCTGATGAGGAAGATTGAGAAGGGGGAAGAACAGCTGTCCTATGGTGATCCTGAGAAAAACACCTACCATCTCTGCATTGTTAATCTAGTCATTGGTACCCTTTACTGCGTGAAAGGAAACTACGACTTCGGGATTTCAAGGGTCATTAAAAGCCTGGAGCCATATAACAAAAAACTAAGCACCGATACGTGGTACTATGCCAAAAGGTGTTTCCTGTCCCTGCTGGAGAACATGTCCAAGCACATGATCATGCTACGTGACAGCGTTATTCAAGAGTGCATTCAGTTTCTGAAGCAATGTGAACTGTATGGAAGAAACATCCCAGCTGTCATTGAGCAGCCACTCGAAGACAAGAGGATGCACAGTGGGAAAAATACGGTTACATACGAAGCCAGGCTTTTGAGGGCACTGATGTATAAGATCGTTGGATGGACTCCATAAATGACATTCCTGTGCAGTAGAAATGCGTATCTTGTGTCTGATCTTTTCTTAGATTGTGGGGTGATGCTTACCCTGGTAGTACTTAGTGGTCTGTTTTGTGGTTGTTGTTTTTTTTGTTGTTGTTTTTGGTTTTTTTGTTTGTTTGTTTTTTGTTTTGTTTTGTTGTTGTTTTTGTTTTGGTTGCTTGCATTTAAATATTTTGTCCTGTATTTTAACAACATTCAGTGGAAAATAAAATACTTGCTTGAAATTAACATGCACCAAATAACTAGGGGCATTCTCAGTCATGTCAGAAACACCTTAAGATGCACTGACCAAGCACTACAGAAATACCATAGAGTTATCACCTGTAAAATATTTTATCCCTGTGAAATTTTCGCCAAGTTTCTTTACATTGTTCACAGTTGAAAATAATTTGCTCTCCATTTCTCCTAGCACAGATATTGAAGAAACAGAGTTATTTCACTTCTCTTATTTGTTCCTGTGTGTGAAATACTTCTTTCTTTTGCTTCTTCCAAGCTATTTTTAATATATCACAGACTATGTTCATAGTATATTCAAACACTAAAAGTGGCTTTATAATAAAAAATCACTCCTACAAAAATTAACATTGTCTTTTGTTGTAAACTCAGTAATCATGCATGAGTATTCTGGCAAGTTGTAGACGTAATACAGAGACCAAAAATATATTCCAAGGAGAGTACCATGAGTGGGCATAAGGAGCTATAGAAACACTGCCTGGTGCTTCCCCTTCCCCTGCTGCGATCCCCAGCGTCCCCTTGCCAGCACCATCCACATAGCACCTGTTGCCTGCAGACCTGTGTGGCAGCACGGGCTTGCTATATGTGCAGTCTTTCATTTGTGGCCTGGCCTGCCCCTTTGCTCGAAGTACACCAGCATCTGGTACAAGACCTTGCAAACGTAAAATTACATTATTTTCCATATTGCTCAAAAAGCGTATAACTACTATTTGAAGTGGAACTTACCACTTCTGACCTTAGATGGAAGGAATCCACTTCTCAGTTTCCTCCTTGTATTACTTACTGTTCCTGCTTCACCAATAGCTTTCTGAAACCCTGTTTATTTACTTAATTCCTTTACATATCATTTCCATCACACTGGTATCAGACACTTTTTTCAGAGACTTCCCATACCTTTTCAGACATATTACACGTTCTACACAGAAGTGAAATCAAAATGTCCTTCACTCTTTTTTGCAATCTCATTCTGTGCCTCTTTTTGTGTATTATTCCTTCTGAAGTAATGTGCAGCCTGAAGTTTTTTAAAAAGGATCAAGTACCTGCAGCTTTAGCTCCTTTGCTTACCTTTGACCCTGGCTCCCTGAAGAGCTGTCATGTGAATTTCAGAATCAGGCTGCATGTCTCTCAAAATCCAGTTTCTGTGCCACTGTTTACCTGGAAAGGAAGAGGACAGCATTTTTATTTTTTTTTGAAAGTCGTTCTACTATCAAGCAATGAAATACTTAATCCTTGCAGGGAATTGGTGCATCTGGAGACTATGCCTGTGACTATTTCAACACATAGGAAATTGACTCTGCTTTATCCCAAGAGAAACTCATCAAGGCTGCACATCTCCTCCATAGCTAAAGTAGATGGCTGTGGGTTAGGAATGTTACCGTTTACCCAAAAAAATCCTCTAACAGCAAAGTAAAATCACCTTCATCACAGTTGTCTTTAGTGTCAACAATGGGATAATGTTCTACTGTAGGCAGACCAGCAGGTAGGCAGCAGTATGTCGCAAGGTGTCCTGGAACAGCCTGTGTAGCTCGTTACTAGTCCATAATTCATCCAGGGCCCCCCATTACGATGATATTGAAATATTTTCCACTACTGCTTCCACATGAGGAAGAGACCTGTGATTTCAAATCTTGTTCACCTTCATGAATCACAGCAGCAGGCTGGAAAGTGTGTTTCTAATTTACAGTGGAATTGTATTACATATTATGCAGCATAAACAGCATGACCTTTAAAAAAAAAGTTTTTAAAAGTCACACCACATAATGGAGTATGAAGTGCAGGCTGTGGGCAATGACTTAGGGAACATCAGAGATTTTTTTCATATTCACTGTGCGTAGTCTGTAAAAGTCAGTGGACATTTAAAAATAAAAAATAAAAATAAAAAAATCCCTCTGCAGATTGGTGCTTGTGAGAATGTCCTATGCTCTTTGAGAAATTTTAAAGGGAACTGAGAGCAGGACAGAGACTTGTCCACAGCCAGCTCTGGCACACAGCTCCTGCTTCCATCAGCTGCTGGGGAAGGAGCAGGGTCCTCAGCCACAGTGTGGGGAGGGACAGCAGGGAGAGATGCTCCCTGCGCTGCGTGTCTGCCTTTCCTGTTCCCTCCCAGTGCAGGGGACAAATACCCCAACACCTGCAGCACTGCTGTCCACAAAGCAATGCCTCCTCTTCTGTAAGAGGGACACTGCTCTGGCAAGGGGCTCAAACACACTCTGCCCGCATCTAGTGACCACACAGCATTTCTGAAACGCTGGTGTACAGCATGGAAACAAATACATGCAGCAAGTAGAAGGCTGTGCCTACAGAAAGCTCTTTGGAGCCAACATCAGCTTTGGTGGATTTACTGAAGAAAGTGGCTGAGCAGCCACCTTCCTAATTGGAGAAAACATCCCCATGAAAGGAAAAGGAGCTCCTCGGTTATGCAAGATGAGGCTGTTTCAGAAAGTGTGGCTAGAGGGCAGTCAGCATCTCTGGAATATGCTTCATCCTGCTGCAACAAATCATATGTACAAAAACCAAACCAAAACAAAAACTAACCATCAAAAAACCCCAAAGAAAACATCAATAGAAATACTTTCCCTGTTCTTCTCTTACATCACGTTTTTATCTTCTTTTCCTCTCAAAGTACACTGTGCAGCCAGGACTGGCCTAGACCTAACCCACGATTTCTTAGCAAGTTAGGTGGTGCTGAGTGTTACGACCCCAATGCCAAGTGGCCTCTGATGCAGAAAGGAGAGAGGGAAGAGGCAGGGCTGAGATGTGCCAGGAGGAGACCTGGGAGACGCTTCCTCCTCTGCTGCTGTGTAAGGACTCCAAGTGATTCTTCTCATCTGGGTCTCCTCCCTTCCCAGCAGCATTTTCCACCCCAACCACCAAAGCCTGTTCCTCAGCAGCCTCTCCACGGCCAGGATGGACGCCACGGCCCCCATTTTGTCCTAGGTAGCTGCCCACCCTCTGGGTCCAGCCACTGTGGGTTTTTGCAGTGTATTGCTGCTTGCTGTGCAAAACTGCAAAACATGCAGTTATGGCATCTCCAACTGCAAAGCACTTTGGTCATGAAAAATATATAAATGTTACAACCACTTTTATTACTGTCTTTATACGGCATTTAATGTTTCACTATGTGACTTACACACAAAATACATTTTTAAAGGAAAACGCATACGGTTTTATGTGGGGGAAAGGGAGGACACAAAATAATGTTTTATGCTTCTTAGAAATACAGTAAAATCTGTCTAAATGAATGCCCTAAGCCAGTACAGCCCTTCTTTTGTTCGTAACCAAAAATCATTATTTTCATTTAAAAGAATGCAAACAAACCCCGCCACCTACGAGCAGCTGGCCCTATTCCTGGGGGGCTGCTGGGGGCAAACACCTGGAGCTGAGCAGCGCGGAGCAGAGGGAATGGATGCCGGGGCCGCTTGTGGTCAGCCCTGCAGTCAGAGCTGATCAAAAAATGTCAGTAATCAAGGGGTGGCTGACTTTACACTGAGACATACAAAAGCCGAGACAAAAGAGTCTTCTTATTGTGTAACTGGGGGCGGAGCGTGGCCAGAGACTTCCTCAGGGAAGATGTGGGAATTTCTGCAGGGTAAGCAAGCCCCATTAGGAGGTGGAAGAGAAGAATGCTGTTTCTCTAAAAATGGTGACATTTACAAGAATAGCAGCTGAGCTGAGCATCCCGCTTCACAATATCTTACAGCATGCTATTTTAGATGCCTGAGTTCAGAACTGTATCCCCCAGCAATGGCAGCAGAGCCCAGCCCTGACGAATGGTTTGCAGATTTGGGGCACGGGTGTGATAACGCGGCTGTGTGGGCTGAAAGATAAGCACTGAAAGATCCATCTTCTCTCCCCCCACACTTCTCTTCCTTCATCTCCCTTTGGACTTCCAGCAAATAAAACCTCCAAATTTTGTGCCTCTGCTAAATCCTGCCTGTCTCTTCAAGTAAGGAGTGGCTGCTCCTGGGACAATATGCTCCTTCACATCGTGGTGAGTTGTTGATATAGAAAGACAAACACATGAATACCATCTGGCTTACCAGGAACCAGGACACAAAAACAACTGCCTGCAAAAATACCTTTTAGCACAAAGAGCTAAGCGAGGCTGGCAAAATACCACCTTTTTTTTTTTTTTACAACTAAAGAACTGTGAGGGGCAGCTCTAGGCTTGCCTTGCACACCCACGACATCTAAGCAGGCTCCAGCAAGGTGCCCCCTGCGCCTGTGGGTGCTGGTGCATGGCTCATGGGATGTACACCTTTTCCTGTGACTGCACGAGGTGCTGCATTGACCTTCAGGAGCCACAGCCTGGCCATGCTCCGTGGGCATGCGTGGCTCGGTTGCTCTGTGCTGGTGCAGGGAACCCAGGAAGCATTGGAAATCTCCCAGCTTCAGTCAAGCTTTCACAAGTGAGTGAGGAAGGAGTGCCCAGTGGGCACACGTTAGGCTGCAGGGAAGTTTTCAGACTGAAGTGCTACAACAACAGCTGGTTTTCAGGCCTCTGCACCTTGTTTGCCACCTAGCCTAAGCTCTCGAAGAAACAGGGTCTAAATGAAGTAAAGAGGCACTGGGTCCTGACAAACTTCTAGGGTTCACTTTCACCAAAACAACTCTTCTTTTTTTTGGCTGGCCCTTTTCCATTAAGTAGAAAAAATGAGACACTTGGACTCATTTTACAAAGAACCTCTTGATTAGCATCGTTTTCCTTAACCTCACCTGAATTTTAGCTAACAAAGCCCCATTACAGAGCAGACCCTGCCAAATCCAACAGCTTCAGTCCAGAATGTTTCTATTCTAGGGTTCTTAAAACTGAGTGGAGTTTATAGCCCAAACTGAAGCTCAGTGAAGCCAATAAAAAAGTTCCCTTTGACTTCAACAACCTTTAAATTGACACCTTAGAAAATATCCATTTTCATAGGCTGCTATTTGGGGCCATCCAGGAGCAGGGTCTTGTAGGTACTGACATGCTAGAACCCCAACCAAATCCAGTGAAAAAACAAAATATAACAGACCTTGTTTCCACCCACGTAAAACACTGCTCAGAGCACCCCTTTCCCTGCGTTCCTCATGGTGCAGCCCCTGCACGTTAGGAAAACATCGCTGCTGCTGCTGCAAAACACAAGGCATGGGGCTGCGGTGTGGAGCCAGGCGCCTCAGCTTGGGATCGCCCCAGCCACAACCAGAGCGTGAGCTCCGGATTCTCTCCTGCAACACAGGAATCATCAGGGGGCATTGCGAACTTTTAAACTTTCAGGAGTGAATTTACACACTTTCATTCTCTGTTGCACGTAATCATCCCCTTCTCCAAATTTCAGGCTTTTTTGCTGCTTACCTTCCCCTCTCCCCCCACCTGCTATGCCTCTAGAACCCTTGCCATCCTGTGTCACAAGCGGGGAGCAGGTTGACTAACAGCTTTTTATGAGTCGGTTTTATTTTATAGCCCTCTTTCCCGTGGGAGAGGGCGAAAGGAGTTGGCTAACAGTCAGACCCTGTTGGGGTCTAACAGTTGCCTTCCGAATTAAAATTAACGCGGCTCGGATTCTTCTTAAACGTGTTTACCGGATGCCTCACAGGGCTCTTTGTGTCTGCGTTCACTGATTCACAGCTGCTCAAACAGCAAACAGAAATGCAGGAGCTCTGACATGGCGTATCTGATTTTCTTGCGGTGCCAGCGGTATTTATCACTGCAGCTCCTGCGTGCGGCTGGAGGGCCTGCTCCTCCATCAGGGCTGAGGGACGGGGTTTGCAGAGCACACATAAATCCTCCGTGCTTCCACACACCTTCAGATGGCTGTCACCCAAGCGCCAGCTCTGCCATCCCGATAGCAAGGAGATAACAACCATGCTACTGGAGCCACGCGGCACCCCGTGGGCAGGAGGCAGGCATGGGGCAGCTCTGCTAGGAAAACGCCTGTGCGTGACCCCCAGGCACAAGGCAGCAGGAGGCCGAGCGAGCAAGTGACCCCCAGGGCAGACAGCTTGCTGGCAGAGGGACATGAGCAAGTGCTGGCAGCTATAGCAGTCGCTCCAGACACAGAAAGGAAACACGGCCTCTTTTATTGTTTTTTTTTGTTTTGTTTTCCTAGCCCACGCTAGAGTTCGCTACTCCTCCTGTTTGGAGAGAAGGGAGGAAAAAAGGGATGCCAAAATGCCTT